ATGGCACAGCCTGAGCCAACGCCGGAGATTGACAATTGTGGAGATCGTGCAGTCGAACCAGGCAACCCGAACTGAATCGGAAGGGAAGGAAACAGGTCGAACCAATTGAAACCCACAGAACCAAGACTTCTTGCAAAAGCGCTCGCTTAGCCGCCTTGCAGAAGCCCATAAAAACGCACCAAGGCGCCGGAGTGGGTCTCAGCGAATTTCCTCACTGCAGGCATGGGCCCGGTGACCTCCGCGCGACGGTCTGCAACTCAGAACTTGGACTTGGAAGATGCGTCCAAGGGCATCTGCCATGTCTGCATATGCCGACGCGAGGCATGCGAACTGCGGAAAGGGCAGGAAGTGATATGCTTTTGCCGAGGCCTGGTGCATGTGTGCTGGCCACTGCGACCTCTGGATACCAATCAGGCAGGTGAGGCCTTCGGGTCCGGGCACGCTGCTTGTCTCAGCTATCTTGGGCAGCGCAAAGTGCCTGACCTGTGCTAGGGGTCCTGTCAGTAGTCAGGAATTCCGACATGCCGCAATAGCAAATTTGTCATTGAGCCATGTTGTTGAGTTCCTTTGGCGTGGAAAGTGCACAGTCCTGCCGATGCTTACAGAGATTGGAGTGTCAACACTGATGGGAGCCAGAGAACATGCAGTGCAACGGGAGCCACAGCAGCAGCAGCAGCAGTAGTAGTAGCAGCAGAAGAGGAGGAGTGCTAGTAGTAGTGCTAGTAGTAGTAGTAGTAGTAGTAGTAGTAGTAGAAGTAGTAGTTGTAGTAGTAGTAGTAGTAATAGTAGTAGTAGTAGTAGTAGTAGCAGCGGTCGTCGTAGCAGAAGGCAGTAGTAGTAGTAGTCGTGGTCCTCGTGAAGGTGGTGGTGGTAGCAGCAGCAGCAGCAGCAGCAGCAGCAGCAGCAGGAGATGTTATGGACAGCAGTTCATAATTATGACCAACAGGGCAATGATTTCATGCAAACACGATGTACCGGTGTATATACTTCTGAAACAAAAATAGCAATGACGATTCTGAAATCAAGAAGCCTGCTGGAAAGCTACTGAGTCACTGAAGCCAAAGAGAAACGCCCGATCCAATAACATGTATAAACAGCACCTCTCACGGTTCCCGTGTGTGCACAAAGCGATGCTCGCAGGCAAGTGCCGGCTGCAAGTCCTGCGAACTTCTGAAGGTGGGCAGAGCTTCGCCGCACATGGGGCAGGCCTCGGTGCCAGGCCGGTCAGGCTGAAGATTTTTACACAGTTTAATTGTAATTAGTCAGAGCATCGTGCCGGTGCACGGCGGTGTGGGCTGCGACACCTCCGACCTCAACACGCAAACCATCTCAAGCCCTGACCGCCGTGATCCAGGCGGTCAGAGATTTGCTTTGCTGCCCTGCGCACAACGAGCTCCGTCCGAGCGCGCGGCGGGCAATAGATCTGACGGAGGCACCGGCCCGCAGAGGTCCCGATGCCTCAGTCTTACCGGCATGGGAGCGTCTCGCCCTGCGGCTACGCTGCTGTGACCGAGGTCGAAGCCAAACTTCTTCCAAAGCTCGGAATTCTCCACATCCTCAGCAGTCACGGCTACCATCGCAAGAATCGGCAAGGAAGAGACCCGACAGGCTCGGGCACGCTTCCACCCTTCCTTGTCATCCAAGATAGGTTTCATCTTCTTTGCGACCCCTCAGAGCAGAGCAAATCAGGAGAGGCCTTCCCCGGTGACCCCCGGTGTGCCGTTGCAGCCCAGGGCCCGACCTTTCGAAGGCTGCTTGCGCACCGGACCTGGCATGGCATGTGGGGGGAACTTTTTTTCACAAGAACCGGCTTTTGCAACTGCAACTGGCCTTTGGTTGCCGCTGATTCCGCGACCGCTCCCTTGAGTTGCGCTTGTGGTCCCCCAGTCAGCAAGGCCACCGTGTGCAGATCGCTGACCTGCGCCAGTGTACCATCACTTCTGCTACACAGGCCCTCCTCACGCCCGTCACCAGTACACGCAGTGCTCTTCATCGCAAGACGGACACAACCGGACGTGCTGATACCAGACCAACATGCCATGTTGAACCCGCTAGCTTTATAAAATGACAAGGTACCTTGGCGTTCCTGCGCTCGGCCAGCAGCTCCAAGGCAACCGCGAACTCGAAGAAGTCCTTTCCGGGACCCAGTGAATTCATGACGACTGTTCTTAAATCTTGAAAATGTCCGACCATCTCCAATTGAGATCAAGCTGCGATGGTGCGTCGCCCATGCGGCTTCACCCGGTGGTCGTTGAAGACTAGCTCCTTAATCGAAGACCGCAGCCGCCAAAAAGGCTGTGTGACATCTCGGAACAAAGGAAAAGATGGCTCACAACCGACAACTGAACTGCAACAAAGCCTACATCACCTCAGAGCCTGGCTTGAGGGCGCAGGCTGACTCGACGACGTCTTGAACTACATCTAAATCACAACTCTGGTGATCGGCTTTGGTCGCGGCAGGCGGCGAGACCTGCCCCGTCTGAGGGAAGAGGGCGGCCAGAGGCTGCGCGAGCGTATGTCGGGACCGCGCTTGCCTCCCCGTCACCTCCTGTACCCCGATAAACAAGTGATGAAGGGCAGCCAAATGCTGCCAAGCATCTGCCACAGCTGGAGGCAGCGTCGAGTCAACAAACTTGCAGTTTTTGCAGAACTTTACGAAATCCTTCATCTCCATTTCCTGAACGCAGCGCAGCTGTTCCTGGAGATAGTAATTACTGTGGTAATCATGTTTTCTCCGTCCGGGGAGCGGTTTTTCCAGGTCCGCAAAAAACATAGAACACCGCATCCAAGCCATCACTGTCGATCTCGGAAGGGGGATTCGACACATGCAAACACAGATGTGTGTGTGTGTGCATGCGAGTCCCAACCGCGCGGGGCAACACGTATCTTTCAACGATTAGTACTTGCTGGCCGCGGCACCGGAGCCAGGATGGTCTTTCCTTTGAGTACCTCCTTGGAAGTGGACCCCTTCCGCATCCAGATTGAAAACTCCTGCCAGGCATCCGACAACAAAGGACTGCTAGCCGCTGGCCTGCCCGGAAGAAAGAGCAAGAAAAGCTGTCGGCATCCTTGTATGAGATTACGCCGTCCTGAGCGGCACCAGTGCATGCCGTTGCAGCCGCGGTAACGCAACATAAACATGCTCCTTGCAAACAAGAAGCATTACTGGTGTCCAGGTCTGTACAGATCTTGTTCACCTCGTCCTGCAGGGCATCATGCAGAGGTTTGCAATGGCCGGCAGGCACAGGATGGCCGGTAAGAGGCATCCTGGTTGAAGAGGAACATCTTGCCCATGGCATTCCGCAGCTCAGAGATGTCCAGGAACCCATCTCCACTGACGTCGTACCTTGTCGAAGACATGTCAACACGTCGTCAGCTTGAGTCAACACACTTCCTGGCGCAGCTCGCACAGGCTCGGCCCGGTGCAAGTTGAAAGCGTCTTTGACCCTCTTCTCTCTCACAGGACCTGACCGGACGAGCACAGACTTTCCCCAGACCCCTCCCCTGCCCATCGAATCGCTTTCAAAGAGGCGGCCTGTAACCTGCTTCAGCTTGCTCGAGAGCTTTCCTTGCGGCATCACACCCAAGGCCTGCTGTTGCCCAGCTGGTCCATGCTTTTCGGCCCAGCCACGGGCCAGCGAACCGCCGATGTGGAGCCAGGCGAGGAATTCCTTGTAGGACACCTGCATTGCTTCGGACCAGGTTTTGGACTCTTCATGACAAGGAGTCTCCATGCACAGGGCTCGACAGCTCTGCACGCCCGCACCCTTCCGTCGCCACTGGTGTCGAGCTCTTCCAAGACTCTCCTTCCAGGAATCTTGCGAGTTCAGACCGCCAGCAACAGACACCCACCCAAGCTTGGGAGATTCTCAGCCTGCGTGCTGGCTGCGGCTACGTGCAGCTTGGGCACTGGATCTCCGCAGTAGTGATCTCAGAATCCAGAACCCGCAGCACCTTCATCAGCTCGTGCCTCTCTAAGAAGCAACTGCCATCCAGGTCGTACCGATCGAACATCCTCAGAGCTTCAGGGTCCGGTCTTGTCAGTCTCCGAACATCTTTGAACGCCAAGAGTCTCCATGACCCTCGCTCCCAAGGAGTCGCCGGTGGCTTCGACAATCGCTCGGAGTACAACCCGCTGGGCTTGTCTTGAGAGGCCCGCCTTTCCAACCAGCCTCGGGGTCTCATCGGGTCATAGCGCTGAGCTCTTGGCGTTTTCTGAGCCAGGAAACCAATCCACGAACTCAGGGGTGGTAAACTTGCCGTCTGCGCCATCGCCATCGATCTCCTTCAACAGCTTGTCTAAGAGCTTGTAGCCTGTCGCGTCGACCCGACAAACCCCCAGATTGCTGTCACATCGATGTAGCGTCCGATGTGTTGCTCTATGCAGCCACAGGGCTTGTATTTTGCATCAGGTCGTTCAGCATTCTTTGCATCTCTGGCCTTCAACCAAGTACATCCAACGTTCATAGTCTGAGTTCACAAGCCGACGAATCCCAAGATCAGACCTCGTCAGAAAGCTGCGCCTATCATCTGCCCGGTAGCGCCCAAACACCTGTCAGATGACGCGGTCTCAGGCGACTGCACCAGGTCTTCGGGCAGTCCACCTCCTTCACCCTTCCAGTCAAATCCACCAAGTCTGTGGCGCCCTCCAATTCTGCCACCATTCGGCCATCTGCCTGGCACTTACACTGCAGGCTAAGAAGGTCCCTATCTCAAAAGCTCAAAAGCTTCGCGCCGCCACCTCGAAGGCCACGCTTCAGGCAAGGGAACACCGGTTCTTTCATGCGCTGAAGCAGGGGGCCGGGGGGTTTAGGGGACGCGGAGCTGATTGAGGTCTGGGTCTCTGAGTCTCTGTGGCTTCTCGCATGTCTCACGCTGGAACTGAGCTTCGAGGTCCAGGGAGTAACGACACAACGAGCTTTCGAAGGGGCTGGCGCTGAAATTCGTGTGCAGTCAGCGGCACCGCAGGTTCCATCTTTTGCTCCTGCGTCTACGAGATCTTACGAGGTCGGCCGCTCGAACTGCGTTAGCCCCTTCGCCTGCACCACACGCAACACAAAAGGAAGAGCCCTCAGCAAGGAAGCCCCACCTCGTTGGCGTAGTAGAAAACGCCGGGCTTCGACCGCGACTCCTTCTTGACCTGACACGGTACCAAATACAACGAGACTTGCTATCACATTCGGCAGCTTGGTCTGACACCCATCCCGGTGGCAATGGCAATGGCCCACTCTGCTGCACTGGGGTTTCCTGTACCTTCTCCACACCAAGAAGAGTCTGTTGAGTAAGTTGACAGAGCTCTAAACGGTCAGCATTGACATATACTGATGTTCTTCCTGCTTTAATCGTTCGGACGCCTGAATCTTCAGGAATCTTCTCATCGTTCCCCTGCTTAATTTGGTGGGGTAGAACAGCACGGAATGTAGGAAGATCGGTTTTAGAGGCCAAGACTGACCTGCAGGAGGGGACTGTCCAACTTATCCGGTCCGGTGATCCAAATGTCGGACACAGCTTCGCCGAACGTTGTGGGATTCGTTGGCATCCACAGGCTATGAATCTACAAATATGCATTGTCTGCTTCATCTTGATGTTGTTGTGTAATTTTGCATCGGTTCTGTCCTCGTGTAATTCATCCTGGAATCCAATATCATTTTAGTATGGTTTTGGCACCGTTTTGATAGCAGTTTATCATTCGGGTCGGAGATTGGTCCAGGTAGCGGTCTTTCCCGGCCCTGATGGAAAGAAACAAACCGACTCTGAAACTGTACCTTGTTTTGTGTTACAACACGCGCTTCGCTTGGCTTTGCGAAAACGCTGCTTTGCCAGTACAACTCAATGAGCACCTCTACATTCCAGCACTGTGTCGTTCAGTGTGTCGTTTAAGTAGGCGTGTTGAAAGGCTTCTACTTTGTGGGCGTTCGGGCTTGCACTGTCTCGGGCCTGGGGTGACAAGATGGCTTTTGGTGGTTTTCGAATTCGGTCTTGAAGGCTTTGAGGGGTCGGGCTGCACTGGGTCGAGCCCAGGGGGGCCCAGAGCGTAACTGCCCCGCCCAGGCCCAGCACTTCAGAGCGCATTTCCTGGGGTGATCTTCAACTTTTCCGAAACCGTAGTCGTAGTCTTTGCCCCCGTCCTTTTCCGATGGAGAAGGGAAGAATCAAACAGTTCAAAAAGGAAAAAGACAAACTAAACATGAATATGGCCTATAAGGCCCTACTCACTTGTGGAGAGGATTCCATGATATTCGCCCGGCCCTTTTCCACCAAATTTCGGCAGAATGAAGTCATAGCAAAGCATAGCAATGTCAGTATTTGGAAAAGCACAGGTTACATTCATTGCACTAAAATGATACGAAATAATAAACCAAGTCGAGCCTTGCTTGGTCGTGGGCTGCGTGAGCGGGAGCGCAGCCGTATCTGCCCTCCCTCCTCGCGAGCGTAGCAGACACCCGTCAAACCATTCTGAATGAGTGTCGGCAAGTTCTAAGCTGCTCTCAGGCGATCCTTCTCACCTGTTGCGGGTGCAGCTTGACCTGACGATGGCTCCGCTAAGAACCGTTGCTCAGGTCGCGAAAATGCTCCCAGTGGTCCACAACACAAGCCGGAAACACCGAAGAGATCACAGTCATCTTCGGGCTGTTTCTCTGAGGTTTTACCTCACAGCGTCTCTGATCACGCTCGATGTCCGAAAGAGCGTCCAGGCAGGGAAGCCGGCCATGCTCCGTCAGAAAAGCAAGGATTGGAATGCGGACAGGATGGACCAAGGAACCTGCGAGTGCTCTAAGGCCGGGTTGAAACGGTGCCGTGCTATTCGGGCCTTCGAAGTAGCCATGAATCAGAAGTTTACCGTCCAGCACCTCCCCATCGAGTTTTTTCCTAGTGGCCGCGCCGACTCCTAACGGTCATGCCTGTACCGCCACTTTCATGCCGTCCTGAGGCAGGGCCGATGCCCGACATCTGGTCTTGCTGAACTTTCTGCTGGGGTAACACTCGACAGGAACCCACAAGAGCACCTTGCCTCACCCAGACGGTAGCGACCTCGTCCAGAAACCGAGATTCAAGCATCAGTTCTGAAAGCCTGCGCAGGTGTGAGGCTACTGCCTTTTCCGTCCTGGGAAACCCAATGGTGGTCAAAGCGTGTTCCCTCCAGCTCCTGCAGAGACGATGCAAGTAAGCTCCAACAACGACTGAAGGCTTCACATGACCCGGACAGATTTCGTGCCTAGCCACTCATCCAAGAGCACAATCATGTACCATTGCCGTAACAGCAGGTTTTCTGGGATTGCTGGCAGGAAGAATGTTTCTGACGGACACCGCCTGCAACCGTGGAATGGTAAAATGGTGTCCTTCGCCAGCATGCTACAGACGAGAGGGCCCTCCTCTGCAGTGCCCTGCCTGGTCATGACGGCTCGCTGTTGTTTCAAAGCCGAAGCTTGCACTCTACCACTGCCGACAGCAACGGCAGAGCTCTTCGTCCAAGAGCTCAGGCAAGCACGTTAGAGCTTCAGAAACGCGCTCGATAGCGTCGCGCCCTCCCAAGGCAAGAATCTCTAGAAGCTGGATGAACGAACCGGAGTGCAAGTAGATGCAAGTAGAGTGCCTATCAGCTCGTGGCCCATGCCCTGCAGCTGCAGCGCCTTGATATGCAGGTCGACAGCTAGCTAGCAGCTAGCTGATCAAGAGCAGGTGTCCAAAAAACTGCGCAAAGCAAAGTAGCTCGGCAGAGAAATGCATTGAGTAAAACTCTAGGGGCACCACGAGCTTGTTGCAAAGCTTCGCTCGAATCTTGCTTCCATCTGACATCGATCTACGATCCATTGCTGACGCCTTACTCGAAACCAGGACGGCCTTTGCTCTTCAACTTTCGATGGAACCTCGATTCACGACGTGGGGTCACGTTTTATCTGCTGGCATTGCGAAAGCGTCACAGGCCAGCGCATATTGAAAGTTATGCTGTGCCTAGCAGTTGGCGCAATCTAAGGCCTGCACCAGCGCTGAGCGCGGTCATCGTCTTCGAATGGCAGCTGAGGCGGGTGGATGTCACCTGGAAAAGCTGGAGTAGTGCATGCCGAGCCTCGAAACCGGGAAAGAGAATTAGCATGCTGGGGCAGGCAGCCATCAGAGTCGTTGAAGAAGTCAAGCCTGGGGGGCCGGGGGCATGCTTGAAAACCTTGTCGGCATGCTGCAAGCCCTGCAAGCCGTGGATGCCACAATATGCCTTTGCAACCCGGGGCAACAGTGCGAAGAGGAGAAGCTCGCTCCCATTTTTTTCCCTCTGATCTGCTGTTCCAGCTCCAGTTCTTCGTCACCGAGGAAGTAGGACCTCTTCAGAGCTTTAGAGACAAAAGCCTCGGGCCTGGAGCAAGAGACGAAGCCAAGAGGTGCATAGGTTGCACGGTGCCGTTTTGCCTGAACTACAACACTCCCAATACTGTGTCACTGCTGCACATGTGGAGTGCTGAGGAAACGGCCATAAGCAGCTGCCGCCGAGAGCGCCCTAGCACCAGACGGCAGATGAGAATTAAGGTGCCAGCGAGCAGTTGGTTCTGGGTGCCTGACCGAAAAAGCAGCCTTTCGCGATGCCGGCACGATCCCAAACTCGGGTTTCATCTGCCTCACGGCAAACCGCGCAAAAGATCTCTCCCGACTTCTAGCAAAGGCACCAGTGCACGAGGCGGGTGCATGCTGCTTGAAGCTTTGCCAAGGCTTGCAGTGAAGCACCCGCGGCCGGAACGCCACCACATAGACCATGGAATGCGCACTTCCTGACTGGCTCTGCGAATGATCCGCAATGATCTATCGCTGAACCTTGTTCCTTGACCGGGCACGAACATCGGTCCAAGATTCTGCTGGTCTGCGTTGCGGCAAGCCATTGCCGCATCCTCACAGGTGTCGAGCTTTACTTCGATCGTGAGAATTGGCACACAAAGGTGCCGGGTCGCTTTTGCTCCGCTACCCATCGCGGCCGCCAACTTCTGCACCAGTCGACCTGCATTGCTCGCTCGCAGGTCCAAGACTTGGCAAGACCAGCCTGCCTCAAAGCTTGGCAATGCCACTCGAAAGCCCTGCGCTGCAGTGACTCTCTCACTCAGTAAGGACCCCATCACACTCCCACGAATGACTCCCTGCCTGGCGGTAGAAAAATGCAAACATGGCCACCTTGTGAAGAAAGGTGACGACGACTGCAGTGTGATTCCGGGGTTCGGCAGCCAAAGCTGAGATCTTGACCGCTGCCGACCGCGCTCGGGGCAAAAGCCCCGCTGCAAATGCTAGCCACACGGCATCCACCTTTCTTGCCGCCGACCTGGCTCCCTTCAGCACATCCTGCCAGCTGCCAGGGAACGCTTGCCAAGTCAGCTTCAAGCCTGTCCTAACACATCCCTTCCACTTCAGAGTGTCCAGGAGGTCAGCATAGGCGTACAGCTTGAGCAGCCGTGCCGTTCCAGGTCGCGGCTGCGAGGACAGCAGGCTCGCCACAGTCGTCATTCGTGCAGGTACGGACGGTGTCTCGACGTTTCGTAAAGCAACCGCCTGCAGCTGTAGCCCAAGCATGCGCATGTTGCCCACAGGCTGGGGAAGCAAAGGAAAACTCAGTACCAGGCAGAAGCACTCGCATAGGGATTTCCAGCACTGTGTGCAAGGAAGTACATAGAGCCCTCTCCGGCTTTGGCGCCGGCGACTGCTTGCACAACCTCTCCAAAGAAGCATCAGTCCCTTCCGATGCACATCGGACAAAGTACATCAGGAGGCCTGGATGAAATCCCAGCCGTTGATCGTGATACTTCGTCGGACGGCCGCTGCTGCACTCGGCACAGGCTCGACTGCTGTGGCAGACGCGAGGCGCCTCAGGGAGAGCGGAAAAAGTGCCAGAGACTGCAAAGAAGGAGCTCGCAACTGTACAGGGCCTGCCCAGGTGCGCTGCCACCCAAAAGGTGCAATCACCAAGGTTTGCACCGACCTCGACGAGATGTAGCTTTTTCCGTGCCTGACAACCCAGAGCTTTTGAGAGCTCAGAAGACCGTATGACACAAGAAATGAAACAGGAAAAGTGCGGACTCTTGCCGCCCTGTGTCTGATGCGGCCACAGCCCTTAACACCAGCTCGAAGAAGTTCAGGTCGCAGTAGGGCAGGCTGCAGGAGCGGACGACATCAGAGACCTGCCCGCCAAACTGGATGTGCGCGACCGGGACTAGACTCGCCAGACTACAGCCCACAACCGAGGATCAGTCCTTTTCTGGCATCGGCAGCACAGCGACGCGCGGTCTGCTTCGGGCTGCTTGTGCCGGCAGATTCCAGCGAACTTCGCCCTCGAGACACGCTTTGCATGAATTGCCCAGGAAGGGCTGCTGAACCCGGCTTCTCCCCGTCGCCTTGCAAGCTAATCGGTCCGCGAGTTGGAAGATGGGCCTGAAGCGGTCCCCAGCTCTCGAGCTACAAGATGCTACGAGCCGACATGCATCCGAGCGGCCAACGGGAGGTCAGGGGCACCAATGGCGGGTACTTCGGTGCCAAAAAGTCTTCCTGGATTTTGCCAACATGCAGACTGCGACGCCATGCACGCAGAACGTGCCACCAGGCATCAGTCAAAATGTACACTGCCCGCCGAATCAACCGCTCCTTACACTCTGGACCAAAAGCATAAAGGACATGTTGAAGCAGTCGGTATCCACAGTGCGGGCAGCGGCACCGCCTCTCCGACGAGGTCTGGGGCTACTCGTGGAGGCCGAAGCACCTGCAGCCCACAGCAAGATATGGCAGCAATATGATGAGCAACCCTGGCTTCGTTTTTTCCAACGAGGGCCGGTTGCCTCGGCCAGTGCGAGCAGCGCGGTGGCGCGGCTGTAGGGAGAAATCCGATCTGGGTAGGACAGCAACAAGCCACTCGCCTGAGCTCAAAACTTTCCGTGAGTTGTCCGACACAAAACTACTTTGGTAGTTCGTCTGTGCCTATGCCATGCGAGCGAAGTTGCAGCTGCTGGGACTGCGATGCCTTCATCAAGGTGTCTTTGCACCAACTCCAAGTATGGCATTTCCTTGCAAAAGCATGCGCGCCGATGAGTGGTTCAGCAACAGCAACGAAGCAGACATCGCCAGACTGTCCATTCTGCGCAAGCATCGCTCAACCAGTTTGCTTCGGACCAGGTGTTCAAAGGGTTTGTCATCCCAAGCTCTTCGTGAGCAGGACTCCTGAGAGAACATAAGAGGATAAGACTTTACGGTCCTTTTTCCGTGGTGCAGTGGAAAGCGGGGCAAGAGTGCAGGCGAGGCGCTCGACCCGGGCCAGCAGCCGGAACAGGGGCCATCCCAGGTCGGCCACTTTGTGCCAGTCCAGGGTAGAGGCCAGGCATCGCAAGATCGGGTGGATCATCACCCCTCACTAGACAACGCGATTCGCATACTCTCGCAGGAAGTCCTCTGCAACTGTGCCTTCGAGCTTGAGGAGCTCCTCCAGTATCACCTCGGCCTTGGTGCAAGATTGGGGCCGGGGCCAGGTGCGCCATGCGCACTTTTCCGGGCTCTCGAATCGACCAGCGGCTCGTAGGGAGACGAAGCCGAGAAGTTTCAAGGTCAGGTAGCCAACAGGGCACTGGCTCCTCAGACCGGTATTGCGGCACTCCAAAGGTCAAGGGCACGCCTGAAATTGCCACGAGGCGCGATGCTTGCTGCGACAGGACTTGGTTACCGTCAATCTTCCTGTAGCCAGAAAGGACAAGTGATGCTGAACCAATGTCTCCTCATGGAGGTCACTTCTGTCGTCGTGCCTCCATACATCTAGGAGCTCCCAGTATCGCGGGGACTGCGTGTCCACAGTGATGTCTCCTTTCCAAGCGTCAAGCATCTTTCTGGTTCCGAAACCAGCTTCAAAGCCCAGCAACCCACGATTACTCACTCGGAGCGTCTTGAGGCGAGGTTCATGGCAGTGTAGAAGGACCTAAGAGGGACGTGGCATCTACTGGTTGGATAGCTTGGCTCTGAATTTCCGAGTCTGCGGCAGGTTGCCCCTCACCTCTGCCCAGCTTGGCCCGGAGCCTATCTGCCCCGAACACTGCAGGAGCGCCGGCAGCGCCATAGCAGAGAAAAGAGAAATCTTCGGTGTCAGAACTGTAGCGCTGCGCAAGCTTGTAGGTAAATGTGATGGCCTGTGACAAAAGAGAGCCTTGTGTCCGCCTCCCTCTACCTCGCGGAGCCCTCTTTTGCGCAATGCTTCCGGCTCTTCTCTCTTTCCCCCGCTCAAATTCTGATTCACTCCCCCTGCAGTGTTGTGTATCCTCGGGCGCTGGCAACTCGGCGTGCTTCTCCTTACAGGTGCAGAATTCGGGATTGGCTTGGGTGGCAAGGATCTCCCTGCCTGCAGCAATGCTTCTGCTTTCGGGTATCCGCGCCTCAGCAATGCTCAGGTGCGCCCACCCCTCGTCAGAGTACTCGGGGCTGTAGGCCGGTATAGGCCGGTGGCAGTTGTGCCACCCGGGCCAGAAGCCGTCGCCATGCCTCACTGGACGATTCTCCCAAGTCTCAATATTCCAACAGCTTTGCCTCACCTCGCGCTCCCGCGGAATCTTCTCCGCAGTGTTCGCATCATCTCACAGGCGTGAGTCAGCGTGCTCGTGGCCAAACCAAGGAGTGACAGGGAGACAAAAATGATGACTCAGCCACACGTGCACGCAGACATGCTCGCGCGCACACACACACAGAGACATTGGCCTGGCTCCGCCATGATCCCAAGCTGCTGAGGCGCTGGTTTCACATTGCGTTCAACATGTCCTGTTAGTTCGTTTGCTTCACAATTGCCTGTGGCCAGTGGGCTGGACATGCGATGGGCTTGGAATAACTTCGGCCGTAGCTACATCATCTTCAGCCTTTCTTCCTTTGTTTCCTTCCGTGCCACTGGATGTTTTCATGGTTTCATAGTTAGTTACTCCGCTGCCATGCGTCTCGGCTTTGTTTCTCTGCCAGTTCCTACCATGACCTCGAACCGCATGTGGTGGCTCTGTGCCATGCCGTACGGAGGGAATCTCGATCTGGGATGGATACCGTTACTTTACACGCAACAGCCGGCTAGCGAGACGTGGCTTGCTTCCGGTGACCGGCAGCGAAATTTACAAAGATCACCAGTGTCCCTGGCGAATCCCTGACGGTTGACACTGCTGAAGCCTGAAGTGCGCGAACCTGACTTCTGCAGAGGCCTAGCACACAAAGCAAACAGCAAAGAATAGGAAACACAGAACTAGAACAACCTGAGAACACAACTATGGCTTTCTCAGTTTTTGGCTTTGTTCTATGGCAGGTTGTTGGTCTTCATCTAAACGGGACTCTGATCGGAGTGCTGAGATGTGGCACGAAATATCCGCTGTCTTGCTGCATTCCGCAGGTGCACCCGTAAACAAATGTCGGAAAATATCCACTCTGCAATTTAGCTTCACGTTTATGGCATGGCGACTGAACAATAGGTCGGGCATGCTTGCCTTGTTGGACGAATGCGAACATGATCACACTTCGAGAAAAGCATCGTTCGACATCTGGTGCTGCAAGAGCTCATACAACCTACAAATGCACCAGGAAGCTAAGAGCTCGCCAGTGATGCATCTTTGGCCCGTTGAGCACAACGTCTTCGACACTGAGTCAGGGGTGTGTCTTTAGTTCTGACACCCTCTGCGTTCTGCGTAGCGCCTTTGGCGCCCCTCCCATTTTCGCCGCCAGGCAGATCAGCACGGTCTGAATGCTTGGTGACATCAATTTGGGTACTCATGTGCAGCTGATTTGCACCAGCGGCCCGAGTTTTTCTCGCAGCAGGAGGGAAGAAGTCTACCGCTTCAATTCTGATGGCCCCGGCTTCAGCTCTTTCTAAGTCGAAGTTCTGGATGTTCCAAGCTCGGGGCAATCGTGTCTCCACGAACCATCTTCATCGGATCAATAAGGTCACAGTGGGGCCAAAACACTGCATCGATGCTCCATGGAATTCAGGATCGCGGAGTATCCATCGACTACAGTAAGATACACCTTACGGCATTTATGCCTTGGTCCAGTACGCCTTTTCGGCAACAAGCCAACAAGCAAATTAGCCGCAGAATTCCGATAAGTGAAGGTCGCACCCTCCACCAGGTAAATTCTTGAAAGCCCCTGGTCGGGCCACGAAGTACTCTTCGACTCTGGCTAGCTGGTAGCTGGTGATAGCTGCCACTCCGGACTCCGCAACGCCGGAAAACCTCATACCAGGGCCACACCCCAACAGTAGCGAGACAAACTTTCTGTTGGTCGGGGCTTGCGGGTCTAACTCAATAGAGGAAGACCGTGTTTCCGATTCCATTCGTATGATTCAGGACTACTCCCACTGCTATGATTCACTTTCGCCTCCCGTGTCCTCTCCGGCCTCTCTCGGTGCGCCGGCCCGGTGGCTTAGACCTCCTCTGGCTCCGGAGCCTCGCTCACATCGCCTCCTGCTTTTAGGGTTTAGGGCCTTTAGGGTTTAAGTTTAGGGTTGGGAGAAGCTAAGCAAGAGCAGAAGGAAGGAGCGCTCCTGGCAAAGGCTCTTCCGCGTCCAGCCCCCCTTGGTTTAGCAGACGAGGGGCTGAGCAGAGCTAGGTGATGTGAGCATCTCCCAGGCAAGGCACGCGAGTTGGCAGGGAAAGGCTCCGTCTCCTCCATCTGAAATCCAAGAGCATTGAAATCCTCAGGCGGATCTCCCTCTGTCATTTGCTAATAACTAATACGTGCAAGGAACCCACTTGAAATATTCCGAGCAGCATCTGCCTCCGCGTCCTCATCCTCATCCTGAGCATCTCGCAGATCTACAGAAGTGGCGACCGGAAATCGAAGTGGGAGTGGGAACCACAAGACCGGTGAGGAAGCTGGACACGCTAAGTTGCTCGTCGCAGGGCTTCTTCCCGAAGTGCCGCAAGCTCCGTGCCTTTCCGAAGGGCCCAAAGACAGAGGCACAACGCTCCGGCTCTCTCACCAGCAGGCCGATCGCTCGGCACTGTTTCTCTGAGTTTGCCACGCAAGACCTGGAACTCCTCCATCACCTTCCGAGAGAAAGCTGCACTCCGGAATGCGTCTCTGCATACAGTGCTACTCCCCTTGCCTTGTTCCCGTTAGCATTCAGGGTGTGCTGCACCATGGACTGAGAGGCAGAACCGTGCTCGCATCGGCATCTCCGATGTGACTCATTACATGGGTGTTATCCGATATTCCT